TAAACCCTAAACCCTATACCCCAATGGGTTGAAACCTCCGCTTCCAACCGTCGTCTGGCCTTGAAGTTACACAGACAGGGATGGGACGCTGGGCTCCTTACATGGGCTGGGGTTCTCTAATCCACAAACCCTAAGAACGCTAGAAGCCCCAAAAGCCCTAAAAAACCCCAAAAAACACAGAGCCCTACCCCAAACCCCAAAACCCCAAACCCCTTCCGAGGCGGACTATGCGCAAAATGCAGATCAGGCTCCTAGTCTGGGTTGTCGACAATTTCGGATCCTTACCTGGATAACCAAAAGGAGCCTTAAATTTGGGCTTTTTTCTCCTATACCGCCATAATGAAAGGGTTCAGGGTTCAGGGTTCAGGGTTTAGGGTTTAGGGTGTAGGGTTTAGGGTGTAGGGTTTAGGGTTCAGGGTTTAGGGTTTAGTTGGTGTTTAGGTTTTAGGGTCACTGGTATAGTTCCTCTTAAGGTGTCTGAACCAGGAACCCTGTTAGGGTTCATTTCGTCCCCAGGATTAGGGGGTAATTAGGGCTTAGGGTTCAACAGCTTTTTTCCCATTGTTTGGCCGAAAATTGCGATCATATTGAACCCCTGTTTGTAGGGTACGACAGTTTAAGATGGTTCTTGTCCCGCTGTTTTCCCGCACTGCCTGCGACTCTACCTCAGTAGTGCCTGTACCACGATGTATGGGTTTAGGGTTGAGGGCTTAGGGTTTAGGATTCAGGGTTTAGGGTTTAGCGTGCCTGGATGCTTCGGGTTGAAAGGTAGGAGCAGGTTCAGCAGCTTGTTTGGCCCTGGTTAGGGCCGCCCCTCCCAAAGCCATCCACCGTCAACCTAAACCCTAAACCCTAAAATTGTGTAGTTGATAATACCGGAAGAAATATAATGCTTTAGTAAGTCCTAAGTATTGGTGAAAAAAAGGACCGGTGAGTCAATTAGAGCCCTCAAGCCGGTCACCACGCTTATCACCTGGAGCCTAAAGCCTAAACCCGAAACCCAACGTCCTAAGTCCTAACCCTAAACCCTAAACCCTGCACCCTACACTGGGCCCTACACCCTAAATCCTAAACCCTAAACCCTTACCCCTAAACCCCAAACCCTAAACCCTAACCCCTACCCCAAGCCCCAAACTCCTTAGATCCTAAACCCTAAGCCCCTTGCAGTATCCTCGGTGCTGGGCTGGGCATACGCTTGAGCCGTGGGGCGCTTGCAGGACATGGGCTAAACCCTAAACCCTAAACCCTAAACCCTAAACCCTAAACCCTAAACCCTAAACCCTAAACCCTAAACCCTAAACCCTGACATGGGGTTCAGGTTTTACAGGGTTTCGGGTGTTAGGGTTTTAGGTTGAGGGTTTCGGAGGTTGAGGGTTTTCAGGTTTAGGGTTTAGTCTAGGAGGTGAAGGTTTAGGGATTTGGGTGTCAGGTTTAGGGCCGGTCTACGGCTTAGGGTCCCAGACATTTGCTCTTTGCTCTGGGCTCGAACAAAGCTTGAACAGGGTCAGGGTTCTCAAGTAAGGGTTCGGCATATTTTTGGGTTTTTCGGATTTCAGTTCGGGGTTTTTGTTAAGGGTTCAGGATTTTTGGGCCAGGATTTCAGGCTTACAAGGGCTTCAATGACAGAAAGGTCTGCCGACTTTCCAGCGGTGTGATTTTTTGCACTGCAGCTTGGTCAACAGGTGTGCCCCCCAAGCCCCCAGCGAATTGGGTTTTTGGGGTTGAGGGTTTAGGGTTTAGGGGTTTAGGGTTTAGGGTTTAGGGTGTAGGGTTTCGGGGTTTAGGGTTTAGGGTTTAGGGTTTAGCCCTAAGCCCTGAACCCTACACCCAGTTGAGGGAGATCGGCTACCACAGCTTGCCACGAGGACTGCCACTTGGGTGTGCGATGGTTGCGAGGACCCCGGGCATAAAGGATTCGGCTCGGGAGCTGAGGGTTCAGGGTTCGGGGGGGGGGGGGGGGGGCGATCATCAGCAACAAAAAGATGCCAAACGAACCAATGCAACACAACTTGGGAAAGTGACAGGAAACCGGTGTGGAAAACTCAGGGCCACATCCCAGACACTCATAGTTAGGTGGAAAGGTTCATGCGTAAAAAGTCGGGGTCTAAGCAACCTCAGTCAGGCAATTCAGGTCTCACCATGGCTTTTCCCCTGCATGTAGCCCTATGTGACAACCACCCATGAGCCTCCGAGTATGGCCCCGAAGGGTCTACGAAAGGGTCGGAACAACAAATCTGATATTCTGTAATGGTCCTCTTGACTTATACAAGAACCCCCAACCCCAAAGCCTAACCTCTAAACCCTAAACCCCTGAACCGTTTTGTGGGTTTTCTGCGCGACAGAAAGACTCACGGGTCTGACAACTTGTGGCGAACATGTAGGGTTGGGGGGTTATATAGGGTCTAAGAGAGTCTAAGGGTTATATAGGTTTTAAGGGTGTGAGGGTTTAGGGTTTAAGGGTTATACAGGGTTTAGGGTTTCGGGTTTAGGATTTGGAGTCAGGATTTGCGCACGCACGCAGAGCCTCCCAAGGCGCGCGACCTTAAGCCCTATAACGCTCAGACCTTGCAATGAGGTCTGGTTCAAGCAAACCCTGAACCCTACAAACCTACACCCTATAAACCCGTATAAACCCTAAAAGCGCTGTAAACCCCCTATGAATCCCCATAAGCCTATAGACTTATAATTTCCTAGAGACCCCTATAAACACTTCCATATTCCTACCAACCCTAAACCCGAAACCCGAAACCCTAAACCCTAAACCCTAAACCCTAAACCCTAAACCCTAAACCCTAAACCCTAAATCCCTAAACCCAGAGATGGCCTTGGGCGCGCCAGGAGCACGACACGACAGACATGCAGCGCTATCGATGTGAGGTGTGGGGGAAAGGTTTGGGGTTCAGGGTTCAGGGTTCAGGGTTTAGGGTTTAGGGTTTAGGGTTTAGGGTTTAGGGTTTAGGGTTTAGGGTTTAGGGTTTAGGGTTTAGGGTTGGGGAGGGCAGCGGTTGCAAAGAAATGGTTTGTAGAACTGGAAAACCCTAAATCCCTGACCCTGAAAGCCCTAAATCCAGAAGTCCTAAACCCTAATCCTAAACCCTAAATCCTAAACCCTAAACCCTAAACCCTAAACCCTAAACCCTAGATCCTACATAATCCCCCCCAGTGCGGAGGAATGGAGAACCCAGGCAGCTTGTGCTTGGACTCCTCTGATTTCTTCTTTTCTTTGGGGGCGGGAGGGTTGAGGGTTGAGAGTGTAAGTTTAGGGTAATTAGGGTAATTAGGGTATTAGGGTAATTAGGGTAATGAGGGTAATTAGGGTAATTAGGGTAATTAGGGCACTTAGTGTTTGGGCGGAAGCTGAGATGAGTCAGGAAGTCCAAAAGCATTGACAGCTTGGCAGGAGGGCGGCGAGCGCCGCGGCCCACGTGGCGCCTAGACGCGCGAATGCTTTCGCCCCCGAAGCCAAACCGCCAAACACGAAGACTGAGATGCCCGAGAACCCTAAGGTTTAGGGTTTAGGGTTTAGGGTTTAGGGTTTAGGGTTTAGGGTTTAGGGTTTAGGGTTTAGGGTTTAGGGTTTAGGGTTTAGGGTTTAGGGTTTAGGGTTTAGGGTTTAGGTTTAGGGTTTAGGGTCTGCAAGCCCGATAAGCCCTATAAGCCCTATAAGCCCTATAAGCCCTATAAGCCCTATAAGCCCTATAAGCCCTATAAGCCCTATAAGCCCTATAAACCCTAAGCCTTAACCCTAAGTCCTATAAACCCTAAAAGCCCTCTAAAACCCTTAAACCCTTGTGCTCCGTTTTTTTTGCCCTGCTTCCGGTGCCAGGAATGTGACTACGACCTCTGTGCAGCTCTCGGTTTCGGCGGCGGGTTCAGCTTAAGCATAGGCTTTGTAGGGTTTTGGGTTTAATTAGGGTCTACGTCTACAGGGTTTAGGGTTTAAAGGGTTTAGTTTCGGGGAAGGGCTTAGAATAGGGTATCGGGCCCGCATTGCCAGAGGTACCCCCACAGAGGATCCCAGTTTAGCCCCCCCACGCCCCACCCCAGTTACTCTGTGCTGGCTTTTGAGAGCATTTTCTGTGGCTGCTGGTCCTTGTAGAACCCTAAGCCCCTAAGCCCCATAAAGCCTGGACCCTAAACCCTATAAAGGCCAACCCTAAAGAAACCAAACCCTTATTCCGCAGTTCAGACCTACAGTTCCCTCTTTCAAGCCCATGAAGCAAATGCGGGGCACACTTTGTTGATTCTTGGGTTCCGGGGTTTAGGGCTGAGGGTTCGTGTAGGGCTTTTGTTGAGTTTTTGGTTGGCCCCTCTTATGTGCCCCTAAACCCTAAACCCTAAGTGAGGTCTGAGTAAGTCCTGCCTCTTCCAAAGATGTGGTCGGTGGAGGAGTCCTCTTTTGGGTCTATCTGGTGTTGAGCAGCACTCCTTAAAGGAAGGGTCCCCTACAAGTAGAAGTTCCCCCAAACCCCAAACCCCAAACCCCAAACCCCAAACCCCAAACCCCAAACCCCAAACCCCAAACCCCAAACCCCAAACCCCAAACCCCAAACCCCAAACCCCAACAACCTAAACCCTTAAAACCTAAGCCCTTAACCCTTCATCCCTAATCCTTAAACCCTAAACCCTAAACTAAAGCCCTAAATCCCCAAACCCTAAACCCTAAGCCCGAGACACCGCATGTTGAAGTTGAAGCGGTATCTGGCAGCTTCCAGCCTACACCACGACACAGCCAGGGCAGTCCCGACTGGAGGGTCGGGTTTTTTCGGGTTTAGTCTGGGATTTGGGAAGTAAAAAGGGGGTTTAGCGATTTGGAGACTTCAGGGTCAGGGTTCTTGGGGTTTAGTCCAGGATTTACGGTACCGACTTTGGAGTCCTTTGGAGATCGAATTCCTTCTAAGCACCCGCAAAACAGAAGAATTCTTTAGAACCCATCCCCCCCGCACAGTTCTCAGCAAGCAGAGTTGTCGTGGGTAGCGGACCCCTATGCTGAGAGAGCCATGGACGATGTCACCAAAACCACGACCTATCTTTCCCGGAGCTCCAGCAACATCGTTTCTGAGAGGTCCGAGAGGTCTTTACGCGTGGAAATCGCGCCTGAGCTCCTCCGTGGTGTGTCATTGCATGAGTGTCTCAGCGGGTGGGCAAAACATTGGGCCAGCTCGAGGGAAGACCGGAATGGCTATAAGCTAAGTCGGCAAACAACCCACCTCGACAATTTTCTCAGCCACGACTGGGCTACGTCTCGATGGCTCAAGCTCGCGGCACTTCTGGTGATCTTCAATTCCAGGGCGGCGGCCGTCTCCACCCTGGTGGCTCCTTGGGGACGAAATGAACCCTAAAAGGGTTTATGGTTTATACTACCTTAGTCAGTAGTCATAGTAGTATAGATAGGGTAATTATATGTTCCCAATTTTGGTTCATACTACCTTAATAGTACTTATAGTAGTATAGGGTATCTGATCCCATTTTTTAGGGGCTCCTTTGGTCCCCAAGGCTAGCGTGCTTGCCGGCCTGATGCGTGCGTGGGGCATCTTGCCAGACGAGGCGTGGACCGTGGTTTAGGGTTTAGGGTTTAGGGTTTAGGGTTTAGGGTTTAGGGTTTAGGGTTTAGGGTTTAGGGTTTAGGGTTTAGGGTTTAGGGTTTAGGGTTTAGGGTTTAGGGTTTAGGGTTTAGGGTTTAGGGTTTAGGGTTTAGGGTTTAGGGTAAGGGTTTTGGGGTTTTTGAGGCGTGGACCGTGGTGATTGGGTACGGGACGTTTTTCGTCTTCTTCTGCTTCTGGCAGCGGATTCGCGCAGCCTGGAAGCCTCGGACGGTGTTCCTAGACGCTCAGCCGCGGAGAGGGTGATTCTAACCCTAAACCCTAAACCCTAAATCCTACTGGTGCTGGCTGCAGAAGCCGATACACTAGGATCCCCCAATGGAACTCCTCTTTTCCCCCGCCTTTTGTCTAAAGATGTTTGGTTACCCTGATATGGGTGGTTTGAAAAACCAACATCGGCCTCTCTGGTGTTTTTGTGTACAGCTTCTCCCCTGTAGATAAGGGTGCCAAAAACCCAGGGGACCAAATGAACCCTAAAGTTGGGTTCGTATGCCCTATACTGCTATAATTCCTACTAAGGCATGTGAACCATAAACCCTTTTAGGGTTCATTTCGTCGAAATTACAGCCGCGGGTCAGCCTTTACCTACCGGCTCGTAGCAGCGAAGGAACTAAAAAGGCACCCTGCACCCCCCACCCCCCCCCTGTAGAAATCCTTCAAGGGATTCTGCTAGGGTGCTTCATTCCCTACGAAGAGCCAGTAGGCCTAAACCCTAAAACCCCAAATGCTTCGGACCACCAAGGACAAGCTCTGCATTGCCCAACACGATGCTGCTCTTAAGGACTCCAACCGGGACTACACCCCAAAATGTCGAAGTGCTAACCCCGAAACTCTCACCCTAAACCCACAAAACCCAAAACCTGAACTACCCTAAACCCTAAACCCTAAACCCTAAACCCGTTTCAAGGAGCAAGGCATTATGGGCTTGGCCGCCTTCCTGGACCGATCTGAAAAGCTGACGGTTCTCTGGTCACCGCGCTACTTTCAGCGCCTTTGGTGCCTTGGGGCACGAAAAGGGTTTGGGGTTTAGGGTTTAGAGTTTAGAGTTTAGGGTTTAGGGTTTAGGGTGAAGGGTTTAGGGTTTAGGGTTTAGGGTTTATATCCTTCACATGGGCAGATAAGAAACCCTAAAGAGCCCATAAGAAATCCATCAAAAGAAGAGAAACGAACATTGGAACAAGATGGAGAAATATCCCCAAATTAACCCTGTTTTAATCTGGAAGTCAAGGCATTGTCAGACAAAATTGTCCTGAAAATCATCTTGCACTCTTATTTTAAATGCACTTTGTGGCGGAATTTCTACATGAATGAAGTTCCCCGCGGCAAAGAGAATCCCGCAAACATGTTATCCATATTGTTTCAAGGTTTGGGGTTTCGGCTCGGGTTTACGGTTTAGGGTTTAGGGTTCTGAGTTTAGGGGTCATACACCTATACTACTTTTTCCCCTTTAAGGTACATGAGCCATAAACCCTTTTAGGGTCGATGTGGTCCCCAAGGTGTATGTTCGAGATCAGCACCTTCCTCCGGAAGACGGCCAGAACTCAGATCGAGATGATGCCAGTCAAGCTGGCGCTTCTCTTGTGCGTCAACACTGCCAAGTGGTTCATCATGGCGATTGGCTACCACATCATCACAGACGCCTCCGATCATGAGACTTGGTAGCTCGGTGGTACCCTTTTCCCTGTTTTTGCTTCAAGATTCCCTTGTAGCAGTAACCAACCCAAGAAAGGTGCCCTTATCATAATATGGTTGCTGGACCACCAAGGAGAAGAAACCCTAAACCCTAAACCCTAAACCCTAAATCCTAAACCCTAAACCCTAAACCCTACCAAGGAGAAGAGTTCTTGGACTAGAACCCTGGTCGTCGCAGGCCCGTGCGTCCTCCTCGCAGGATCCATGCTACCCTGGACATACTATGTCGGGATCCTTGGGTCCCAAATGAACCCTGAAAAATGGGGTTTAGGGTTTAGGGTTTAGGGTTTAGGGCCACATGCCCTTTTTCTACTACAGTTCCGATTAAGGTAGTATGAACCAAAATTGGGGTCACATTCCGATTAGGGTAATGTGAACCATACTTTGTGGTACTTTACTGTAACTTTAGATCCTTACTTTTTTGGGGTTTATTGGGTTTCTTCTTAAGGCAGCTAAAAGTTTAATTTAGAGCTACCCTCCTGAGTGCAGCCAACCCTAAACCCTAAACCCTAAACCCTAAACCCTCTTAGGGTTCATCTTCCTGCTGGTTCGTAGGGGATGGGGGAATAAGGCACCATGTATAATGCCTTAAAAACTAGGTAGGGGATACATGGTTCCTTATTTCTCCATTCCCACTAACCAGCAGTAGTGACCAAACCCTCTTATAAACCTTAAACCCTAAACCCGAAACCCTAAACCCTAAACCCTAAACCCTCTTTTTCGTCCCCAAGGATCGGCATGATGGAAGACCTGTCCTTGATGCCGGCGCAGCTTGCAAGCTTCCGCATCCAGGATACCCGGAGCGCCTGCTGCTCTCAAGAGCCTTGGAGGGTTCAGGGTTTAGGGTTTAGGGTTTAGGGTTTAGGGTTTAGGGTTTAGGGTCTAGGGTCTAGGGTTTAGGGTTTGGCCTTTAGGTATTCTTGAGCGATTCTTTGGCGGGTGTTATGAAACCCTAGACCCTTTTCATGCCCTGAGGTTGCCCTAAACCCTAAATCCTAAACCCTGAACCCTAAACCCCCTTAACCCCTGGATGGCACAGCCAGTGAGGAGCATCTCCATCCTGAGTCAGGCGGGACCATCCCTTGTGATCGGGAGCTCGTGCATCCTGGTCCTAGATCAGTGTTCGGGATCCTTTTTGCTTTTTGGGTTATGGGCTTTCTTGTATATGAACAAAAAGGATCCTTTTTTCTTCCTAGGGGTACAGGAATTAAGATTGTTGAGGGCTTAGGTTTTTGCTTACATGGACCTTTTCTGTGGTGGGGTTCTTGGCGTTTTTTGTAGGGCTTATAAGGTTTTGAGGGTCTGTGGTTTCTGGGGCTGTAGGATTTTCAGGGTTTCTAGTTGCAGCGTTTGTGGGTTGGGGGTGCTTTTGGCATTCGTCACTTGCGTGGCACTATGCCTTGAACCCTAACCCTAACGCCTTAACTCTTATCCCTTAACCCTCTTTGTGGTACTTTACTGTAACTTTAGATCCTTACCTTTTTTGGGTTTATTGGGTTTCTTACTGAGGCAGCTAAAAGTTTAACTTATAGCTACCCTCCTGAGTGCAGCCAACCCTAAACCCTAAACCCTACACCCTAAACCGTAAACCCTAAACCCTTAACCCTTAACCCTTCACCCTTAACCCTTAACCCTTAACCCTTAACCCTTACCCTGTCCAAGGTTTGCAACGCTGCACAGCTGGCTCGGGCGGTCTGGCGACTCGGGTGACAGGCTGGGGAATTGTAGGGCTTCGTCGTCTTCCTACACCCTAAACCCTAAACCCTAAACCCTAAACCCTAAACCCTAAACCCTAAACCCTAAACCCTAAACCCTAAACCGGTTCAGGTTTCTCCTTCTCTGCACTTAGGGTGTAGGGATTCCTCCTTGATGTAGGGAACACATGAGAGTTTCTTCTTTCTTCTTCTGGGGCTTTGGCTTCTTCAGGGTGTAGTTGGGATTCTCCCCTAAGCCCTAAGCCCTAAACCCTAAACCCTAAACCCTAAACCCTAAACCCTAAACCCTAAACCCTAAACCCTAAACCCTAAACCCTAAACCCTAAACCCTAAACCCTAAACCCTAAACCCTAAACCCTACACCCTAAACCCTAAACCCTAAACCCTAAACCCCCAAACCCCAAACCCCAAACCCTAAACCCTACACCCTACACCCTAAACCGTGCTTCTCTGTGTGATTTTGGGGTTGTCGCGTTTTTGCATATCGAACCCTCTTTGTACGTGGATTCGGGTTTACAGGTATTGTTTGGTTGTTGGGCTTGAGGGCCCAGCGATTTGAGGTTCTGGGTTTGGGGCTTCGGGTTTAGGTTCTAGGGTTTTAGGGTTGAGGTTTTGTGGGGTGTGTGTGCATATTTATTTATATATATATATATTTTATATATATATATATATGGTCCCCCCCCCCCCCCCCCAATGGACCCACCGCGGGCCTTGATCTTTGCAAAAGTACCGCAAATACCGATAAAACCTTTGCTGTCTGGTGATTTTCCGGTGACCGGATTTTTGACTGTATTCCTTAATTCACTCTCTCACACACACGGAGGGTTTTTCTTTCTGTTGGCTTTTGTTTATAATTTAAGATTTAGGCATTTAAACCTAAGCCTGCAAAAATCCTTAACCTTTGAACCCTGTAGGGTTGAGGTTTCAAGGTTAAGGGTCTAAGATTTAGGCATTTCAACCTATGCCGGCAATTAAACCCTAAGCCCTTAACCTTTGAATTCTATAGGGTTAAGATTTTTACAGGTTTAGGGTCTAAGATGTAGGCATTTAAACCTAAGCCCGCAACTAATTTTAAACCCTTAACCTTTAAACCCTGTAAGGTTGAAAGGCTTAGGGTTTAAGATTTAGCCATTTAAACCTGTAGGCAAGCCCTTAACCTTTAAACCCTGTAGGGTTAAGATTTTAAGGTTTAGGATTTAAGATTTAGGCACGTAAATCTCAGACTTCAATTAATTTTAGACCCTTAACCTTTAAACCCTGTTGGGCTAAGGTTTAAAGGTTTCGGGCTAAAGATTTAGGCATTTAAACCGATTCCGGCAATTAACGCTAAGCCTTTAACCTTAAAACCCTACAGGGTTAAGATATTTAATGGTTTAGGGTTTAAGTTTAAGGTTTAGGTATTTAGACCTTTGCCGGCAGTTCATATTGAACCCTTAACCTTAAACCCTATAGGGGTAAGATTTAAAGGTTTAGGATTCTTTACTTAGACATTTAAATCTAAGCTTGCAATTAAACCGAAACCCTTAACCTTTAAACCCTATAGGGTGAAGGTTTAAAGTTTTAGGGTTTAAGATTCAGACATTTAAACCTAAGACGGCAATTAACAGTAAACCCTTAACCTTTAAACCCTATAGGGTTAAGGTTTAATGGTTTGGGGTTTAAGATTTAGGCATTTGAATCTAAGTATGTAATTAAATTGTCACCCTTAACACCCTTAAACTTTGTAGTGTGAAGGTTTAAAGGTTTAGGGTTTCAGATTTAGACATTTAAACCTAAGCCCATAGAGTTTAAACCTTAAGGGCTTAAGGTTTAGGCATCTATTCGTTAACCCTAAACCCTCTAGGGTCAGGACCCTAAAGCCCTCGGCAATCAGCCTAAACCCTTGACCTTCAAACCCCATAGGATGAAGGTTTGAAGGTTTGGGGTTTAAGACTTAGGCATTTAAACCTAGAGGGCATTTAAGCCTTAACCCTAAACCCTTCAGGGTCAGAACCTTAGCACCCTATAGGGATCTAGCACCTGCAGGTATACATCGGTTTTCTCAAAACCATCTTTTTCTCGAGAAAAGATGGTTTCGAACCAAAAACCATCTTTTTCTCGAGAAAACCAGAAAACCAAAAACACCAAAAAAAAACCAAAAAAAAAAAAAAACATCTTTTCCAAAACTATGGGGCCGGGGCCTCCAAAAGATGTTTTTTTTTTTTTTTTGTTTGTTTTGTTTGGGTTTTTTTTGTTTTTTGGGTTTTTTTGGTTTTCTTGAGAAAAGATGATTTTTTGGTTCGAAACCATCCTTTTCTCGAGAAAAAGATGGTTTTTGAGCAACCATCCTTCGAAAAACCATCGAGAAAAAGATGGTTTTTGGAGGTCTTCTACTGTAAAACCATCTTTTCTCGGGAAAAAGATGGTTTCGAACCCAAAAACCATCTTTTTCTCGAGAAAACCAAAAAACCAAAAAATCAAAAACAAAAAAAAAAAATCTTTTCCAAAACTATGGGGCTGGGGCCTCCAAAAGATGTTTTTTTTTTTGTTTTTTTTTTGGTTTTCTCGAGAAAAAGATGGTTTTTTGGTTCGAAACCATCCTTTTCTCGAGAAAAAGGTGGTTTTGAGCAACCATCCTTCGAAAAACCATCTTTTTCTCGAGAAAAAGATGGTTTTGAGCAACCATCCTTCGAAAAACCATCTTTTTCTCGAGAAAAAGATGGTTTTGAGCAACCAACCTTCGAAAAACCATTTGTTCTCGAGAAAACGAAGGTTTTTGGAGGTCTTCTACTGGCAAAACCATCTTTTTCTCGAGAAAAAGATGGTTTCGAACCAAAAAAACCCTTCTTTTTGACGAGAAAACCAAAAAACCATCTCTGGAGGCCCCAGCCCATAGTTTTGGAAAAGATGTTTTTTTTTTTTTTTTGGTTTTTTTTTTGGTTTGTTTTTTTTGTTGTTTGGTAGTTTCTTGTTTTGTTGTTTTTCCCTTGATCTGGTTCGGACTCGGCTGCCACCCGGGGTGGGTCCATTGGGGGGGGTGAGCTGTATGGTCTATATATTTTAAGGGGCTGCGCCCATGGGCGGGCAGCGCAGGCAGAAGCGTGGGGCGAGCAGTTTCTAAGCATTTTGAGGCCCCTAAACTCCCTTAAAATCTCTAAGCGTTCGAGGCTCCTCAACTCCCTTAAAGTTTCTAAGCATTTTCAGGCCCCTAAACTCGTTTGAGGCTCCTAGACTCCCTTAAAGTTTCTAAGCACTTTATAAGGCCCCTAAACTCCCTTTTTCCTAGCCCCGGGCTGAGACACGTCGCTTATGCCCGCCCTTAGGGTGGCATCATGCTCCTGATGCGCCCCCGGGGTCCCGCCCCGGGAGCCGCCTGATGCTCCTGATGCGCGCCTGGGGGTCCCGGGCTGGACCCGCTGATGCTCATGATGCGCGCCCTCTGGGGGCCTCCGTGGCGCCGCAAAAAACCACGAAAAAAAAACCGTTCACCGGCGGCACGCGGGGATCGGCG